TAATAAAGAAAATTGTCATAATTTTATAATTTTGGTAACTGTAGGTTGATCACAATTTGCTGCCAAAGCCATGTAAAATTATGAAAAGGTGTATGTCTGAAAATTTTTAACTTTATAGATTATTTGCATTAAAATATTCTTGAACAGTAGGTGGAGTAAGTCCAAAAAATGTACTTGTTGTTGAACCGTGAAGGCAGGTAAGAGCATTCCTGAAAAGGGCACATACAGAATAAATTTTGGCAACAGGACTTAAAGCAATCTTAAGATTGGGTTTGAAATTTAGGAAAGCAAAATAAGTGGTGATGTCACCAAAAACCCACTCGACTGCAACTCTAACTGAGCTCATTGAACAGCAACCTCGCAAGCCAGGGTCTTTTACCTGCCCTCGGGCTCCGGCGAAGACCCTGGTTCCCTCTGGTCACGTGACCTCCTAAAAATTAGGACAACAACTAGAGGTCCTATAGGGGAGGGTGGTTGAAATGTGATATGTTGTAATTTACAACTTCCGATTAAATGTTGTATTTGCAAGGCCCGCCGAGGAGTGACTGTAGAAAAGCTACGAGAAGTGACTTCAACTGTAATATGCAAAAACATTCAAAATGCATTATTTTTCTTATTTGTTTGCAGTTTTCTATTATAAATATTTTGTGTGCAAACACTATTTTGAAGCCCAAGCACTTATTTGCTTAGAAAAGCTGTCCTTTGGCGTGTATATACTGGCAATTTTTCCAATCGGTAATATGGCGAGTCGCTAATTTACCAGCTTTTGCCTTTGATGCTTTTCGCTAAAAGAGCGTTAGAAGAACGTCCAACTCATGGCGTTTGTGTAAATGATAATACTGCTCGTTACTGATATATCGCCAACGCGACTTTGATAAACAATCCAGCTCGAAAATTATGTGTGATAAAACTCAGAGTATCAGCAATAAATGTTTTTCAGCAGCCATTAAAATGTGACAACGAAGAGATTGATTGCGATGTAGCTGAACTTGACCAAAAGACAAAACTAATTCTACATGTTATTTTTCAATCATCCATTATATTGTTATCTCAATTTTGTTCACTTTATGCCAAACGTAGTATATTAATTGTGTGTTGTATTTTATAACGTACCAGTCGTTATTGCATGACTGCTACAGCATATAAACTTGACCGAAGGCACATAAAAGCGGAATCGCTTGCCTTGCATAATTGCTTTGAGTTGGTTGCAAATTCTGACCGAAAGATACGATGAGATCATTTACGAAAAGGCATTCAGATACAGGCACTGATATTGATGCCTTGGAGGACATTTGCAACCCAATTTATGCTGTAGTGTATGCAAAACACAATGTTTATGTGTTGAGGTAGTTTAGATATGGAAAGGGAATGATTTTACCTGATTAGACAAATATTTTGCGCCTGTGAAATATTCTTGACTTTGTACCAAATAAATAAACAATTAATCACAAATTGAAATCATATAAACTCAATTTACTTCATGGACAGTACAAAAACCCATACAGCAGTTCCAGAACAAAATTCTAAAATATACAGTATACGGTAACCATATAGCTATTTCAATTAAAGTTGACAAAGACAATAGTCAGATGTACAATAATATGAGTTAACACCTCAAATATATTTTGAATACCAATTTAATTTGTATTACCATGAGGCTATTGATGTGTTAAAATAGGATATTTTTTAGCGTTCAATTGTACATTTAACTATTGTTTGTGACACTAACCTTAATTGCAGGAATAGCTGCATTATAATATAGAACAAGTGCAAATTGCATGTGCATCTGTTAATCTTTTCAAGCTAGGGTATATATAATAGTCTTGGTAGCCTGTGCTACAGCCATACAAATCATTGTTGCTTATTCGTGCAAGTGTTACAGTATTCACAGTCATAATAATTCCTCTTTATCTTCTGATGTGTCCACTGGTAAGCGCTTGGTAAATGTTCCTCTTGCGTTTGTTTAGCTATAGTCATCAAATGCAACGACAATTTGTCTATAATGTTGCTAATGTATCTGATGATACATCATGCGAAGAAACCTTCATGAAAGTGATCATATATTGTTGATTGCAAATGGTTTCAATTCCAAGAGATGAGATAAAATAACATTTTCTCTGAAGATTTGTGCTTGTGAGAGGATGACTTAATTCCTGCAGCTATGTCGAAGTTGTTTATCATTTCTGCAGATATCCCTCCAGTCGCTGTACTTTAATATTAAATAAACATTCGATTGACTTCACTGTCTTGGGTGTTTTTTGGCCGCCATTCTTTTAATTTAATGTTAATTTAGGAAGATTAGAAAATCCGTCATTGATCATCACACACAAGAGTTCCACAATTCACAAATTCTGCGATACGAAGCAGGTTTTTATTTCGCTATTCAGCTACCTCTAAGAATAGGTTCGGTTGTAATACTTCTTGTCGATGATACTACCACAAAGGTGACACTTGCATTCCGAAAACAAAGCGGACTTCGGATAAATCAACTTTGGAGTTTCCTTTCGCTGTGCCATAGCATGAGAGCTACTGAATACTGTACTTTGACTTTGTATAAGTGTGCATTCGACCTTTATTTTCTTTGCGTTGATAAATAATGGCTCCAATTCAAGGCGTAAAACAGACCTCCACCCCTACCACTCCTCCCTAAGTGGCAAAGAGGCGCCAATTCGAATTACCCCTAAAATCTGGGGGTTCACGTGACCAGAGGGAACCAGGGTCTTCGCCGGAGCCCAAGCGGAGGTAAAAGACCCTGGCTTGCGAGGTTGATTGAACAGTTGAATGCTTTTTCATCATCAGTAAGATTCCCCTGTCTGTATGGTGACTGGAGGTGTCTTCGAAGGGGATATGCAGGATCACCATAAATGCAAAGCGTGTTGCAATATGTAGTAAATGTAGTAAATGTAGTAAATGCAGCTGCTGTGTTGCAATGGGTTTCCAAAGACTTCAGTAAACCTGACATTCTAAGCATGCCTGCATCATGTCTTTCCCCCTCCATATTGACAGAACAATTAATTAAAACTATCTGGTTATAATACATAATACAAAATAAAGATAAAAGATCATAATAACATAAGGTAATTTGATTGGCATGAGAAATTATGTTCAATGACATCATTTCAGGTTGATATGACAACAATTTGGCAAAACATATATTCCAAAGTGGAAGTGTGCTGTTCCAGTGGAAAATAGTATCTTAGATATAAATATCATAGATTTGTGAACAAACCATCTGTTTGGCTAGTGAATTGCAATTAGAATAATGTTTAGCCAATCAGAGGGTTTGTCCCCAAACCTATTTTTGAATTCCAAAGATTTTTTCAAGTTTTAACTTTAAATATACTTGGCAGTTACTTGGCAGGTGACAATCGACATTTAATTTTGCAATTGAAAATGTTCGAGTTTTGCTAAAGCGACAAAGATAGTGATAAAAGATAAACACTAATCTTACCTACTGGTCCGTAAAGATTTGTAATAAGCCCATTATGTGGAACAACAGACTGAAATTTTATCGCATGAACCCGTTTATGTCCGTTGTAAACAGTTCGCTGATGCTGATCTGGGCGAGCAATTGGTCTTACAGTTCCGTCAACAAAACCCCAGCAGTTTGTCAATGCTGCACCGTGATTGTGGATAGCATTTGCAAACTCTATACAAGGCGATCTGGTTCCAGCCATTGTTGATTAAATGTTCGCAAAAGATGACCGTGGTTTTCGTACATGAAATCAGTTACTTCTGAGGCTATTATGCTTAGCTCACCGACAAGGGTAGGAAAACGCCTTAAAACCACGCACAATCCTTCAATACCAGTAGCCACTGTTACATTAGGGCAAGTAAAGTGTTCAGGAATGCTCAACGCTTCTGCTAACGCTTTCAATTCCGATAGATTTACCCTGAACTCTGCAAGGCATTCATCGTCGTTCATATTCTGCAATTGAACATCGATATGCTCATATTGCCAGTATGGAAATTCCGGTGACTTGCGCCTTGTTAGTTCATAAATAACAAGGAGTTCCTCTTCGCTAATGCATTCTTGAATGAATAGCAATGCAGCTGCTTCAAAAATGGACTGATTGCAATACATTTTGGCAAAATGTAACTGTACAAGTACAATTGTCAAGACAAATCGACTGTCACGAGAAGTCGAGTTGTCGTGACAGTTGTACTCGTAGTTGTTGTTGTCATCTAAACAACAAACCGTTTTACTACGGCTACGACAACGTAATTCTAGACCCAGACCTCTTACGGTCAGATCTCGTAGCGGTAGTCGTACTCGTAGTCAAATCTAAAGCTCCCTAATACACAAACACACACATAACTAAATTTAACCGTTTAGTTTTGTTTGCATGCGCGTGCGTGCTTGCGCGTTCTTCCGTCGTGTATGATGGCGCACGTTGTTGCATTGCACGCGAATGTATTTTCCCGCCAGAAATCGTTTTCGATGTACGTACCGATCTGACTGCACTTAGGATGGTCCATTTAATTTTGTATGGGCGATTGCTTTTCTTCAAACTCTATATGTACTTCGACAATTCAGTGTCATTAGCATACGTATCGATGTTTAACGATTTCTGGTGTTTCCTAAAACGCTCCTTGAAAGTTGTAGCCGTAATTCCTATATAATGCCTTGTTTCCCCGTTGTCCTCTGCTGCGATCTTTGCATGGTAGACAATGCCGTTTGTTAAGCATTTCTTGTTGAGAGGACATGTATTCTTATAAGAATACGTGTCCATATGATTAGGTCAATTTATCTGAAGAGTGCATGGTACGAAACTATTTAGTAATAAAGATGCCCAGTGGATTTTGTTGATTTGTTGTACCTTAATTTAAACATGCTCTGGTTTTCCATTGAGCACTTTGTCAAAAGTTTTTATAACCAACAAAATATATATATATATATATATATATATATATATCGCTCTATGGCCTTCAGATCATATTGAGCGCTCTACAGGATGAGCCATGCCGCTTACGCATTGTCCCACAATCGTGAGGTATCAAAGGTAACTGTAAATAGCAGTTACTTTCATCCTGCTCATTAGCACTACACTGATGAGGTCCATAAGGCCGAAACGGTACCGTCTGTAGTTATATATATATATATATATATATATATATATATATATATATATATATATATATATATATATATATATATATATATATATATATATATGCTGGGCGCTTTACAGGTTAAAATTCTGCCAACATCGTAGTTCTTCTTCGGATGCTAGGCGACAAGTATTGTGTTCGATATTCGTTGAAATAAAATAGTTTGAGATGGATTCTTGCCCTCTATCTAACTTGTAATCAGGGGTACTCGATCGAAGGTCGATGTTTCTTCTATCGAACATTGAGCAAAAGCCGATCATATACATTGCTTTCGCACTTTCAAAAGTCTTTTGCAGCGAAAATGTTGTCAGCAGTTTTAACCGAAAAATTTGGAAAATCTTATATTTTAAAACAAAAACTTCAAAATCAATTTATTTTATCGAAAACTTCGAGAGTGTTAGAGTTATTGTATACTATATAATTATAATAACACTGATAGTATAGAATAGATTTGGGTATTGTATATTTTTACTCATGGTTTTCCATGAATGTTTGTGTTTTAGACAATAAGATGTGCTGATGAACAAGGCTGCAAGATTAAACTGTGTTGGAAAAAAATGTTTAATTATCTGATGTAAAAATCTAGGCTATACTCTAGTGCTAAGTCCTCTAGTAAGTCAAGGCTATACTGGTTTATAGTGAAAAGACGTTCAAAAATTCAGATCGGCAATAATATGATCGACTAAAAACTGTATATTAAACTATATAACATGATATTAAAATAAAATTTCGTTCGTTTTATTTGTTGTTGTTGTTTAATTCATGTTTGATAATGATAATAAAAAAGCTAGAGACAACTTAGTCAGTTGAAACAACGTTAAAAATTGGGTGAAACGAAGTTAATTTCACAACTTTTAAAATTTGTTTTTATTGCAGTGTTGTTGCTATATGCAGGTTGCTAACAATGCTAAGACATAGAGCAATGTTAGATTAAGATTGACTACCGCTGACCGTGTAGTGCAGGAAATTGCTTACCAGGCCCCGCATCACACGTCGATCGGCGAAATCACTGGCGTTGCGCCGCCCTATATATCAGCGCCCTGCGCTGAAAATTTAAAGAGCGCCGCGGCGCTCAAGCGAGTAAATACGGTAGGCAAGGGCCAACTGATAGATTAATTAATTAATAACTATATATTGTAATTTGATGTAGTCAACAACAAATCTTTGTATTTTAAAGCAAAGTTGTAAATTTCAATCGACCTATTTGAAAAACAAATAAAGAAAGCGGGGCGGAAAGTGATGTCCACTCGGCCCCACTTCATCCACGGTGAAGCACACACTGGCAAAGGGAGCAAGGTCCATAACGGCGGGGGGTCCTGGGACCCTTATACCCTCGTCCTGACCTTCGCATCTCTCGGTCACTTTACCACGGGGAAGCCCGGTTCGCACACGAAATTCAAGGTCCATAACGGTGAGGGCCCTTACTCTCACTCTGATGTTGTTTCGCCACTTTTTCTGGGGGCCCTTAATTACCTTCAGAAACCGCACTTTCCGTCACCCAATTTGCTCACAAAGGATTTGCGTGATTTATTAAATGTAGACTAAAAAAGTTCGACATTAGAAAGTCTTAAAGACATTCATGCAACCTTGGAATGCATACTGAAAAACAGTCAATATTTGGCATATTTTTTCTAGACTGACAGCATTCGATCCAAAGAATATCCACGTACCTTTGCAATGAGGAATTTGATTATTTCGTAACGTCCTTAAAATCCTACAAGATAAATGCCTTGTATTTTCTCCTTTGCTAAAGTAATATCCTTTATCGCACACAACGGTAATATGATTTGCCTTGCGTTGTTTGACTGCAACCTTTGTGTGTGCAGGAAGTTTGACATTCCTCAGTAATCCTCTACCACAAGGCCGTTTCGCGTTCACTTCTGGAAAGAGAAAGTACGTTTGTTAGCTTTGCGCTTTTCTCTACTTTCTGAAGGCCGATTTACACCACCGCACAACTTTTGTCTAAAACTGTCACATGCAACCTGCTTACAACTTGGAATGAGTTGTTGTCATGATGTATTTCTCGTGTAATATCTCAAGAAAACAAGTACTTCGTACTATTGGGACCAGGCCAGGACCGATCACCACGTTGATCCATCGTTTTAGAACTCAGACTTTCGCATTGTTTCGCGAGGCATTTTTCAAATATCTTAAAATTATCTAAATGATTGAACGAAACACTAGTCAATTAAATGGTTCTATAAGGGCAGGCGTTTTATATTGGCAGCGTTCGCTTAAATTAGCCATTCCGAAGTTGATGAGTGGACTGGGGACGAGGGTTTAAAAGTGCCCAAATTAAGAAATGAACCAAAGCACTAAAACGACCACCTCACAATTAGTAAGTATACAAAGTTTTAATACGTTTACATGAATATCCTTCGAATAATAAGCTTTCGAAAATCGTGATATTTACTATGAAATGTAATAATTGTAATTTTTGTAATTTCGCAATTTCGCATTACTATTTTTGAGGTGGTCTTTTTAGTGATTTGGTTCATTTCTTAATTTTGGCACTTTTTAACAGTCGTCCCCAGTCCACTCATCAACTTCGGAATGGCTAATTGTTTTCTTTATACATGCATGCAAATTGAAATTCCGTCTATACTTTGATGCAATTCGTGCATTTTCCGCCTAGTATCATGGGCAAACAATCAGTGATTTTAAATATTTGTTCAGTGAAAATGCTTAGGTGCCTGAAGAGTTCATTCTTTTCCGCTTACTGATACCAAATCCCAACCAAACAAATAATTATTATTAACAATTTAATCAAAATTTAATGGTTAGTTATTTTTGTTATAGTTGCATGGGGTTGCGTGACGATCGGACTCAAAATGAAGGAGCATTATATAGGCTTTTTTCGAAGAGCGTCGCCCAACAACAGCAACAGCAACAGCAGCAGCAGCAACAGCAACAGCAGCAGCAGCAACAGCAACAGCAACAGCAGGGGTCGGCTATTTTGCGAGCTGCGAGTTGCGAGTTGCGAGTCGCTAGCCTCGCTTTGAATTAGGCTTTGAAAGTATATTAATATGGACGAGATGGAAGGCTAAGGGTTTTTCATCGAAGGGTTTTTTGTTTCATAAATATTAATGACCTTCGAAGTTAAGGTTCCTGTAACTAAATTGGTTAATTTCAACACGTTTTCAGTGCACTTTAAGCCGGTTTTTCACTTCAACCGTATCGTAGCGAAGCGTATTTCTTTGTTTCCTGACCACTAGAGTGAAAATAACGACTTCGATACAAAAGAAAATGCTATGAGACGGACGAGATGAAAATCGCCCTTTACTTGTTTGTTTAGTTTGTTAGATCCATCGATACGTATGTTCAAGAATTAAAATAATTATATTGAAAATAAAAGTGCAAGTATATATTTGCCGTTTCTGTGTTTAATTAAATCTAGTAGTTATCCAGACCATTTTGTGCTTTCTAATCTTAAAATGGTTATTTAATTTTATTAGTAAGTATGACCAGACACCGACTCAGTTTGTTTATATATACTGAACGCTGGGAACCCTATAAAACTCAATATATCAGTAATGTCTCTTAATGTCTCTTATACATAGACATACATATACATACATAAACTTTATCTAAACACGAGAAAAACCATCAGTATATCAAAACGATTGCTATTTACAAGTTTGTAAGTATAAAAATAAATGCAATGAATGTTTATTTCAAAAGCTGAAAATTGGCGC